ACGCGATGATACACCTTGGATTATTGTACGAGAACGGAAGTGGCGTCAAGCTGGACAAGAAGAAGGCGATGAAACTGTATCGCGCGGCCGCAGACCGAGGCGACGCGGTCGCGCAATTCGATTTAGGGGTTTTACTTGAATCTGAGAAGAAATTTGAAGAATCTATCCGGTACTACGCGCTCTCGGCGGATCAAGGCGATACCGATGCGGAGTATTGCCTTGGCCTTTGTTACAGGGACGGACGAGGCACCAGGGCCACACAAGGGCGAGGGGCCGACCCGAGAACCCGCGAAACCCTCGGGAGGGTAAGGGTGAGGGGCCGCCAAATTCCCAGAACCCTTGGCTCGGGTACGGGTGCGGGTACCGACGAAAAGCCACGGGTGCGAGGGACGCCCCTTACCCTCGAGGGTGTCCCGCGCCTGGCCGACCTCCTGATTTCCGTTCGAGGGCGTGTAATGCAGCTGCCAGGTTGTCGGGTCGATCCAAAAGCAGCTTAATTTGCGCGTCCGAATCCAAATTCGGCGGTTTCCATATATTTTTTTTTTAAATTAGAGGATTTTGGTAGGGTGCCACCCGCGGGTAAGGGTAAGGGTGCCCAAATTCCCAGGACCCGTGATAACGGGTGCGGGTAAGGGTTTCGGACCGGAGGGTGAGGGTAAAGGTGCGGGGCTCCGTCGGCCAAGAACCCTGACCCGCACCCGTCGGCCCCTTGTGTGGCCCTGCGAGGCACGGAAGTCGACCTCGGCAAAGCCAGATACTGGTTCGAGCGCGCCGCCGCCAAGGGCGACGAGTGTGCTATAAAGTGCCTCGCGGAGCTCGACGCGCAAGTATAGCCTAAACACTATTTACGCCGCGTCGTCGCCCGAGCCCGAGATGCTGCGCTTGCGCGCGGGCGAGTCGTGCTTGGCCTTGGCGTCGTCGTCGCCGTCGAAGGGCGGCGTCGCCGCGCGCGCCTCGCGGATCGCGAGCGCGGCCGCCGCGCGCGCGCTCTCGAGGGCCCGCGCCTCGCCCTCGATGGCGCGCATCTCCGCCTCGAGCGCGAGGAGGTTGTGCGTGCTCGGGTGCTGGGACCGGTCCGCGGCGTCGTCGGGCGCGAGGTCGATGAGGGGGTCGAGGAGCTCGAGCACCGCGGCGTCGTAGTACTTGGGCAGGATCTTCGTGCGGATGTAGACGAGGGCGGCGATGAAGAGGGGGAAGGTCATGGCGATGGGCGTGAGCGTGACGAAGAAGATGAGGAAGGCGACG